TATGACCTCCGTAAAATACATCAGCAGCGACAAGACGGTGCCATACGTAAAAAACTAGGTTTTAAACAGTAAAACTAGTTTTGCTTGCTCATGATTAACACAAATAATCTAGTTATACGATGGCAACAGGCAATTATTTTGTCATATCAATCTTCAATATAATATAAAACCAATTACAACACTATTACATTAATTTCCAGAGATGGATAAACAACGCGAGTAGTTCAGCTTACATCGACGTTGAAGCCAAGCACAAATGCTCTAACGAAATCGGCTGCCTTCTGCAGATTGCCGATATCTTCTGTAAGAGAACTGGGCTAAAAGTAAAAATCTGTAAAAACGCAGAAAACGACATGAATGCCAAGTACCCTAACCCTTATTTCAACGTTCCGCGTTCTAAGGTTGAAGCGAATTTGCAGCTTCAAGTGATCGACGATTGGCGTGTAGATTTTCATCCAGTTAGCCTTCAGCGGTGAATATCTGTGTGCGGGAACCGGAACTTTGCGGTATTCTTCGGCTTTCAGCTAAACGTTGAAAAATTACGCACCTATACATACTGTCAGATATATATAAAGAAATTTATGTGAAAAATTAGGTATCTAAAGCGCGTTATAAAATTTAACACTGAAACTGAATGAAATTTCACCCATTTATCACTGTTAATTATGTCTTGTAACTGGGTGGCAACTACAAGCTATAGTAGTCTCACATATCTATAGGAACAAATCAATGAAACGAAAGGTTAAACTCAACTGGACTGAATCATGCAATTATGAACGTATTTCCGGGAAATATTTCGAAACTCTTTTGGGTTTCAAAAATATACAATTATTAATGATTACGTAGCCAAACATACTTGATTTTTGTCATTACATAATGTAGAGGCCAAAGGAGTATTTATATTTAAGTGAGCGTTAATACTAAAATAGGCAAAATTTATTTTAAAGTTAATTCAAAATTCCAACCTTTTTGGCATGTATTCTGAGCGGTTCCAGCTTTCTCTTCCTTTTTACCTTTTGGATCGTATCTGAAGATGTTGCAGGCAATTCCACTGGAGCAGAAGTTCCTGGGACAGTTTTGCTCATTTCAACATCTAAAAAGTGTGAAATAAGCAAACACGAACTGTAAACAGGAGAAAAAAATTAGAAGCAGATGAAAAATTTTCATCTTCAAAAGTCGAGGCAGATGTTATGAGCTGAACCATTATCACCAAAATCATCAGCACCTGTCATGATAGCGATAACAGTCATCATTATGATAACGATGGTCATTAACAAGTGACAGGCACGACGGAATTGCGCTTACGGTGATCATCATCGTTGTTACTATTCCTGCCATAGTGGTCTTGCTTATGACAGCAGAACTTATTATTGCCCGTGATGATAGCGAACAAAGAGTGAAGAAATTATGATAGCACGACGATGAAAGCAATGATATTCTTAACTACGATAACTGCCTCGCAGATTTACATTAGGTAATAATTTTATTATCATAACTTTACTCATTACCATCACTGTAATCATGATGAAGTTTATTAGCTTCCGCTACAGAAAGTCAGATCCTCTTTAAATTATTTACTTGACTGAAGAGTAATGGAAGGATATGTATCCCAAGTTAAAGCCGCACATCCCGCCGATGTTAATCACTCTCGTAAGGCACCGGAATTGGACCAATGTTCGATCTAAAATCAACTAGGGTAGTGATGCATCCGGTAAATAGTTTTCCTTGCACTTTATAGGTATGGGCTTCAAATCTCACGTGCAGTGTAAACTTTATCTTATTATCTGCAGATTCCTTTCAGCAAAGAATTCACCCCGCTGCAATTCGGTGTAACTAGTCAAACACGGGTAGAATGTAACCGGTCAGTGAACTGCAGGCAGAACAGTGTTTTGATGTGGTACTGCAAAAAAGTGCGCTTTGACCATCCTGAGAGCAAACTAAGAAGCAGACTAAAATGTAAACAGAAATTTAAAATTAAAAAAATTAAAGATTGTATTGGCCATATCCTTATACACGTTTGGACTGTGGATATGAGAAATTCTACATTACGAGTTTTTCTTCTGACAATGTACTTCTGCAATACTCTAAATCATCACTATAAACATTCTTCTTGACTTGATCTTTAGCTTTCTTCGTTACTCCTTTTTCCTGCGAACTAGGTGACACTGGTGACATGACACAAGCACGTTGGATGTACAGCTCTGCTATTTACGTTTAGCAGCACTTCCATCGAATGTTTCAATTACCAAGATTTTTCTGTTCATTACTTAACAGTCCCAAGTTTATTCTGCATAAATTTAATTCAGTCAATTACCACCATCATCAGCATGCCATATTCATTTATGGACATGCTGGCGCACGCATGTAATTCATGGAGCAATTATTCATTAGCATAATGAATTGAAGAGATCTTCAAATGAATGACAAGTTTAAAAACGCAACGGAAATTTTCACGTCACACTTAGGCTAAATTTATCAAACGCGCCTAAAATTTTTTTCAAAAGTTCTGTCAACTATCAATAAATGAAGTTTTTCTAAAGAAGGACAGGAAGGTAAGTTTGTAATAGCTGGAATGACCGTCTCTCGTGCACTTGCATGTTGGGGTCCTTCTGGTATCTTTCTTTTCAAAAATTAAACGACGGGGTGCTGATCTCCGTTTCTATGCCATCAGCCAGGAGTACCTTACTTTAACGGCAGTGTCGTCAGCAGCCATACAAACTAGTACTCATTTATCAGAAAGAGAAGAAATACCTGAGCGGGACTACATCCCGAGACTCAGTAGGGAGTTTAATGCTCTACCGACTGAGAAACCCCGGTCAATGGTTTTGACCGAATTCAGGTATGAGTCAGTGAATTTTAGTGCGAATTTTTTGACTTATGCTACAGTTTTTCTTGACATCACTGACAATGTACATAAATATATTACAAATTATGCATAACTCATCGAAAATCATATTACAAGGCATACCGCAAACCTCAATGCACCTAAATGTCTAGAGTAATTTAAACAGGTCAGGGCTTTTACTGAAATATATAACTTATATATGTTACACATATCTCAGTATGTTCCATAAAATACATCTTGCGGAACATATACAAATGCAGATCAAATATGCTCATTTTCAGTAATTCAAAATGACAGTCACAACAGAACCATAAACGAAAAGTAATCATTACGATTAGATACTAGTAAAGTTCACATACCCGTTTTAGGAGCATCGGCCGTTGTTTCGGCGATCATTACTGCCTTTCCTAAAGAAACGTATTTTTTAAGACAAACATCTTTCCCAATCGCAAATAAAATAATCATTTTAAAGACAAACTGACAAAAAAAGACCAATGGAACGGGTCAAAAATTTGCCTTCTGACTATAATAATGATATGAACTCGAAGACCAACAGCCAAAATCACCTTGATAACTTCTGATAAGGTGACTTCTCCCTAAGTCAGAACGACACCCCAGGTTGACATTTTACGCTCTAGTAAATTAAGTAGTGAATTTTCAAATTAATACATAATGTATTAGATATTTTGTTCTTTTCGTACAGTCAAGCATCAACATACTATGTCTGAGAAAAGGTTGCTTGCACTTCTGGGTACTTGCCCGACAGTTATCCAGATATTAGTCTCTCAAAATAGGCAACCGAACAGAGAATGATTGAGATTATCGGCAGCTGGTCGAGAAGAACCGAAATTCACTAGTGCATTTGGAAACCAGAATTTTTAAGCAAAAAAAAATAAATCCATTAAATTTTTAAATTTTTCGGTATGCTAAGCATTAGAGAATCTGCAACAGAGGTTCAAATTATATATACATTGCATCAAACATTTTAAACCATATTTCACTATAATTTACTAATTACAATATATATACATGAAAAATGCATAAAAAAAATTTCTGCATTTTCTAACGAGCCTTCTTTATGGTGGTCTGAGAGGGCTTATGCAGTTATGGGGTATGAAGCCGACGGTTGCGTTTGACCCTTGCTGCTAGTCAAGTAGTTTTTTGAGTCGATACCGCAGAAAGCAACCTGGATAACCCTGAATTCGAATGAGCTGAAACGTCGATTACTGGTTAATCACCCCCACTGACCAACTTATTCGTTTGCACTGTGAACAAATAAACCGTTTTAATACATTTCTGGTTTTCGGGGTGAATATCAATGCATTTAAAAAATTACATCATCTCCGAATTATATATACATGTGACAATCTTAAACAAAACTTGGCTAAACAGATATTTTTTTAATAAACGTGCCTATAATGTATAATACGAAGTTTCAATATTTCGGTGGTAGTTTTTTAAATGCCAGAAAACGCCGATTTTCTTTACTTCTAAAGATAATATAATGATTAAGGGAAATTAAGCCTTACGCGCTTGCCGTTGCCAAGTTTCGACTTCTAAAACAGTAGTAAATTTCTAAAGCTCATACTGATACCATGTCGTAGATGACTTCAAGCAACAAGAACAAAGCTTATTTGCCCTGCTGCCAACCATGTAATCAGAAGACCTGCTACCTCTAAAACAGACGCTGCCTACTGATTTAAATCTCTAAATATGACCAGCACTATCATATTTCAAGGAAGTCAGTAAGAGTTCTGAAAAAGACTGAAACATAATGAACGGAAGAAAAATAGTGCAAAATTATTCGTATACAATAGGACACACAAACAAAACAACAGTTTAGTCAGAAGTCTTTACTTTGATCAGCGACGAATTAAGTATAACTGAATAGGCCATGTAGGTTCCTGGAAACTTTACGCGACCTAACCCCTGAAAATGTATCAAGTGTGATCAAAAACCTTTGATAACTTGAAAACATCGTCCATGTGCAGATTACACTTACTGGAAAACATGTCGATGATGCTGCATACACAAATCTAATGGCAGTTTTGAGGCTAATTATTTCTGCCGCACTTTTGCAGTAAAACTGTTGCCTATATGACCCCTGAGAACGAACACTGTAACACGTGCAACATCTATATAAAACTGCTGCAGGGAACAAAAACTACCTACAAGAACAAACTGTGAATTCGTATATTCTTCGCCTTGTAGTATACAAAATATAAAGTGACTGCATGCTTTAAAAAAGCAGAGAAAATGCCACACTAATACCATCTCGCACATGACAAACCATTCTTATCAAATATCATTAATATTCCGTTTAACATAGAAGATAAGTCTCGGTCTTAGACCTCAGATCTTTCAGGCTCAAATGAATACAGTATAAATCTGTTCGTAAAAAGATTTCACGATTTTACAACCGGAGTTAACTATTTTCATTGCCATGAGTTTCAGCAACGCAGAGAACCTTCAACTGCAAGCGGAAATAATGTTCAACAGATCTGTTAAAGAATTTTCAAGAGCACAGTTAAGCAACAGAACTTTAAACTATCCGCCAAATATAACTATATTAATTGAAAAGAGCCGCATTCAAATACTTCACAGATGTTTCGTACAAGTTCCATTAACTGAGCATCTCTAAAATTTTTAGAAATATTCTGCTATAAAGTAAAGTGGCACACAATTTTAAGTGATATTCACAAAGCTTTAAACAAGACAAATATGCCAAAAAAACTTTGGTCCAAGAAAAACTGCGCTCTACAAACGAAGCTTCCTCAACCGCAGAGTATGCTGCAAGTTCCAATAATACCAACACGTCATTTTATACGGTTGATTAGCAGGTATTCAGCAACAATTTGTGCATTTTAACGAGTTAAATAAATTTACATACCTCAAGATATGCACGTCCGATTCCTCAACGTTCAGTGGCGGCAAAAGCGAGCTGTAACGGTAATAAAAAAATTGGGTAAATATATTTATAACTGCTGAATATTATTGGAAAAGAATCTTCTTAAAAAAATTATTTTTATTAAATGCATAAATGCATAGCCTAAAGGCATGGTGGCATTGCGTAGATGTTGCCACAAAACTTCAAAGGTACAGGACTCAATCTGCCGGAAATGTAATCTTTCTATCAACCGCGAATTCTCTTGAGCAAAACTTAATCGTATATTGCCTCAGGCCGTTGTTCCACAGTCGATAAACCCCCGGATGAAAAGCCTAGAGACTCCGGGTTCGAGCCCCAGATAGGTCCACTTTCATTTCTTCTTTAAGAGGTTGATGAACGCGTTTCACTCTGCTGGAAGGAAACAGTTATGCACATTTATCTCTGCACAAAACTGTAGCAGTTCACTTTCTTGTGAAAAGAAATATTACATCCGGCTAATTACATGAAAACGGATATCAGCGCCCTACCATTTGCTGCATCAAATGAAATGCACGAATAGCCTCATCATTCCAATGCAAGGAATACCGGAATTTTATTGGTACTATATATCCTTACCTTTTTTCTAAAAAGAATAGCAGATGTAGTGCAGTTATCTATGAAATTTGTTTTAGAATGGTTCTGATAATTTTTGAAACTTTCGAATCTCAATTTTAATTGTTTCTGCATCTAATGATATGAAAAATAATGAAAGAAAGAATTGTATCAGCCTTCTATCATGTTTTGCCTTTCTATCGTTACTGTTACACATATTTTAACCTAACTTGAACTGTTTCGAAGACGTATGCATCGTAAGTCCCGTTGTTTCGCAAGAGTTTTGGCAAGCGATCGGACCAAATAGCTTCATAAACAACTGCTTCTGCGAGATGACCAGGGGCAGAGCGGATTCGCTTCTGATTTTCCTATTGTTTGAACGAAAATTCTCATTGAAAGCGAGAGATAAAGCAAAGTTGATCGCGTAGACAGGTGTCAAAGTTATACTGCCCCGACAAAATTCATAAGAGAACAGCGCAATTCAATACAACTCTGCTTCGCTTGTGTACTGTAGTATCTGTCGAAAAAATGAATTACCATCTGAAAAAAGTACTGAAGTAGAGATTATCTGTTTTAAGAGCAACAGAAATTGATTAGCAAACAATTAATAGGCATGAACAATATGATCGCATCTCCCACACCCTTCTTAAGCAGAACCGATTTTTATGATTCACGTCATAAAGCAACCTAGTGCTCATGACGGCGGCTATTAGTCAGGCAAGTAAACCTGAGTGATTGAAAATTCCTCAGCAGGAGAAATATTTCATCGCCACCATGAAACAACAAGAAAAATAACACTCTTCGCTTGGTTAAACGATGAACATGCAGAAAAGAATTAGCTGTTAAATACCGAGTTCCCAGCTTGTATTTGTTTATCAGTTCTATGGAGAATAACTCGTACAGGGCACCGCGTTGAATTGTACAGCACTCATTCTTGTGACAATGTAATGGCGAACGAGGCTCTGGGGAACAACAACGGTTCAAAGGTCACAATGGCATTAGCTGAAACACGTGTTTACGACACTAAGGTTTGTGGTTCAAGCAACAGATGCAACAGACAAATGCGTACCACCACGGAATACCATGGTTTTTCTGACACTTAAACATCATAACATTGCATCTTTGCAGTTTCAAAAAATCGCTTCAGCTTTTACGCGAGTAGAAAGTTCGTCGCCAAACTCCTCAAAGTGATTACACCGCAAATAAATTTTATTCAGCAAAATTTCTGTAATCTGGATCTAGTTGGATCAATCTTCAGGAAACATGATGTAAAAAGTACAATACAATGTCAACAATATCGTTGTATACTGATGAATGATGTTAAGATGTAAATATACTCAATGCATTGTTGACACTACTGTACTTTAACAAGACAGACTTATATGTACTACAGTCTCGGTCTTCCTCATCACTAGTTAGCTGTGTTTTTCCAGATGAATTATGGACTACACATACCCATAACATCTAAACACTCGTTCCTCTGAACAGAGAAGAATATATTTCATGGCAAACAGGGCAGTTTCGAAATCTGGACACATCTGAAACCTTTTATTATGACAAAAACCATTCGAAACATTATAGAATTCACCCGTCTCTTGCGACCCGTACCTTCAACACGGCTTAAACGTTTACTCGTCAAACAGTTCGATAACGACGTCATCGTTTTCTGCTTCTTCATCGCAACCCTGAATTAAAGCAGGAGGTGCAGTATCAGGGTGAATGAAGTCGAAAAAATTTTTTTTCCCGAAGCGCCCATCAGAAGCAAAACGCTTATTGAATCCGCAGAACGACCGCAGGAACGCGTACAGATCGCTCGGGTCCGAGTGGCGCAGTGCCAACATCGGCACCACCTCGCTGAGCAGAGGTTTACCAACGTGGGTGTATGGCTGAAGAAACGACCTGGTAAATTGGCTGAGCAACTGAAGATTCGCGTTGAAAGCCTTCATGACCGAAAGCCA